ATTCAAGGGTATGAAATAGTAATTCCTATGCAGGGTGCTCGTTCATTTTTTCTTTAGGATATGGAAAGTACAGAAATAATTTATCCAAGAGTTCTGGAAATTTAGTGGAGCATATGAAATCCTCACTGAAAAACGAGAGGAGAAATTGCTGGTCCCAGGGCTGTGCTGGGTAGATTTGCTTGTTCTGTCTGGTTATACGCCCTCTTCTCCCATTTTGGAAGTTCTTAGCTTTCATTGCAGAAAACGAATAAACCTCATGTTATGCATCATATTGTGATGTACCTAATAACTTAAGCAGTTAAGTATTCATTCATTCTTTGGGCCAAAGTAGATGTGACATATGAGACACAAAGTATGTTTTACTAATATTTGTTTGTTTATGTGCTGTAGCTGTTACAGCAGGATGACATTAGATGTGGTTGGAGAAGAGACAGAGTACATTTAACTCTCTCATCTGAAAGTAATCTATCAGAAAATTTCCCCTTTCCCCCCTTCACTGGGAAAAAAAATAGTTTTTCTTGATGAGGAAGAAATTAGTGAGGAGTTAAAGATTTTGAACAAAGAGTTTGTCTGGTATTCAGACCAGTGTTTTCACAGATAGCAGATTTGTAAGGGACAAAATAACACTATGTGATATTTTAAGAGCTTTCCATTCATGCTGTTTTGAAAAATAGTAACTTGAAATACAGAAATGTAGTCTTCAGCCCATTTTCCTTTTCAGCATTATAACGTTCTCTTTGAAGGTTTTAGATTCAAGAAGCCAAATTCTACAAGTAGCTGGTCATGTGAATTGAGACAGTTTATTTATAATTTGCAGTTATGGCAAAGCAAATAAAAGAAATCTTGAGGAACTTGCCATTTGTTAATTTATAGCCTTTCTCTTTGGGTCAGAGGAACAGTGCACAACTATTGCTTTTTTAACAGCTTTGCTGAGAACCAAACATCTTTCTCAGATGTAAATCACTCTCTTTTGCCATTCCAGGTCCTTTGGGCATTTCCAAGCAAGAGAACATGGTGTTGCCTTGGGGACATCAGGAAGATCAACTGCAGGTGACAATTTGAGACAAGGGCTATGTTTGACCAGGCTTTCTGTCACCAAGGTATTCCACAAGCAGTATGCAACAACATCACTGAGCATCTTGTAAATGTTCTCAGATCACATGTTCATTCCTGGGTTGTGCTGTAGTCCCTGCTGGGTTCCTTATATGAGGTGCATTGAAGTCTGACAGATGGATGAATTGAGAGCATGTGGTGTGGAAATTTTTAAATGATATATAATTTCACAGATATATGAAATCAATGCAAAATATGCGTCTTGAAATACATGTCTGCATTCTGTATACATGCTGATTGCCACTTGCTTTACTGCAGAACAGATTTTCTCATTACAGATAGTTTTTTGCAGTGATAAATAGAACCTGGAGCACTCCCCCACTCCCCCCACCCCATTTTCTACCAATTCCAGTAACAAAGAACATGAGAAGAGAAGAATTCTATGAGAATTCCCATAGTTTCATGAATCACACCTTAATTTCTGTTTCAAAACTGAGAGACAAAAAACTGAACACAAGGCTCAGGGGTAATGATGAAGATCAGCCTGCTTTACAGCTTTATTGCAAAACTCAGCATTTTCACTCACTGGAGAGGGAGCTGACAGAAAAGGTTAACTATCCCTCAAACTATAGGGATGGCTTAAGGTTTCTTCCTGCCTGTGCAGGAAACCTTTGTCTCATCTTATACTCATCCTTTAGAGGACACAGGGTCTTTCCATCAGGTCCATCTTGGGAGCTGAGAATAAAAGAGGGAGAAGAGAAGAAGGCCAGTGTTCCTCCACTATTCCAAAGGACCTCCTGGTAGCCGTGAGCCCACTGATGGATATTCCAGCAGAAGGCTTGCATTTGAGAGAGCCATGTGGCTTAGCTGGAAGACTGACCAAGGAGACTGGGGATGGAGCATCAAGAGAACAGCCCAACCAGTTCTCCAAAAGCAGCAGAGCACAGAAGAGGTGAGCAACAACTCCCACAATATAGCAGGGCAGAAAGCCACAGCCACCTCGCTGAACTAGACAAGTGGTGCCAGCTGTTGCAACCCTGTGGCAGAGTGAAAGAACAGTCCCCCCACCTGCCCCCCATGTCAGCAAGAAGGAATGCCAGTAGAGAGTGCTTGATTGACCAGCTAGAAATCTGAACCCTCGTATAAGGTAATTCTCCAGCAATTCGCTCCAGGATGGAGGCTAGAAAGAGAGAAATACCAGCTCTTATTCTTTCAGAGGAAGCAAATCTACCAGATCTCCCTTTATTCCACCAACAGGATGGCAGGAGGAGAGCCAGAGGATCCTGGATCTGGAGGCATGTTGAATGGGGGTTAACATTGTGAGAGAGGGGCAATTTAGCTTTTTGATGCTCTGTCTGGCAACTCAGTTGCTAGACAGATAGGATAAGATTTGCTTGGGAACTGGCTAGCAGAATTACATACCTTTGTCTTATAGGGAGTCAACCTCTTCCACTTCCAGAAGCCCATCCAGAGATATTCTGTTCATTACCCACCTATTCACAGGAAAAGAGAGAAAGTCAGAAGAAGACTATGACCTCACATTTAAGGTCTCCAGCCTCAGATCCCCAGGTGATGAGAAACATCCCTAACTTTCAAAATAAGTGGTTCTGAAAGAATGTGAAGATGCACACAGACCCCAATGACTTAAGTAGAGTCATGAAGTGTCTTCTCTGGGAAAAGAGCTGCAGCTATCTCTTCCATCATCACCATAGCCTCAGGATATGATGCAGGACCTCCATAAGTGCTTGTGGAAGCCTAATTAAGTAAAAAAAAATCATTTATCTGCACCCCAAGGATGGAGGAAAGCAGGTCCAAGAGAAGTCCTGTATCATCTTTTCATACCAAAACCCAAATACCCTACCTTATTTCAGATAGAAAGAAGACAAGCTGTCAGTCTTCTTTCAAGGTAAGCAACAGGCGGACCAGGGATTCCAAGAATGATATTTATTGTTGAAAGGTAGGGTAACAGAATCTTGAGAGACTGACTGTCTACTTCCTCTTCTACCAAAAAAATCAAGGTGGGGTTGCTTCAAGTTTCTTTGTCATGATATCCTCTTTCTTAAGACTGAATAATCTTCTCTGAAATTCCCCCTAACAGTTTGTTCATTCCTTTCCCATTTCCAAGGCCAGGTTTACATTTTTTCACACAAGCACATGGAGGATACCTCTCTCTGGGGCTTTCAGTCTCAATAGTGCAAACCCCAATCCAATAGCCAAACAGAGTAGGGAAGAACCAATATAAATGCCCCTCAGGATGACATTGAAGTCAATAACAGAAACCATCCTGCTTGACAACTTTCTACTGTAGATTTTATGGAGTTGTGAGAGGCCTATCTGCACATCCTAACTAGAACCCTACAATCAGGTACTCCTCAGATTGCATACAAGAGTGTTTAATTTCAATTCAGAACATTCCCTTTTGGTCTGGCATCAGTATTCAGCAATCATGATAAGGATGGCTCTGACACAGCCTAATAAGTTGGATAACCCATTTCCAAACAAATCTGTGCATGGAACATAGTTCCATTATAAATCAACACTGCCAACCAGCAAATTGAAGCAGATGACAGTACAACTGGATTTGAAAGCCATATCAGATCAACTGAATGGGTGACACTGATTGGTCCTATGAGCTGACAAACACTTCTATTGAAAAACGAGCATTCGCTTGCATCACCAACATATCCACAATATATGTGCTATGTGGTTATCAGGATGGTTTATTGTATGTCCATTTGTGAGAACACTTAAGAACAACACTGTTTGCAAAATAAGATGATCTGGTGCTTAAGATATTCTCTGTGTAGTATCTGTAAAAAGGCAGATGCCTTATCTGATTATTTGGTTGTTTTTTTGCTCTCACCCTGGGTCCTACTTTTGTTATCTAGGAGTACTATTACTGAACTAATATGGAAATTTAAGAAGAAATTGAGGCAGGAGAGCTTTAAGATGTTCAGACTCACTGTTTTCCCCCTACAGTTGAACCATCTGGTGACAGAACAATTGATTAGTGTTGGAGTTCCAGCAGTGGGGATTTCGGTAAGGGACCTATATTTTTTGTTTGCCTTTTTTAGGGAGGAGTTAGGATTTGATGATTTGGCTAGGGTAGAAATGTTAATTTCATTGCTGTTTGAATATGTGGGAAGAAATTGAGAATCTGCCTTCAAAGTAGATTTTGGAGAATTTTCTTGATTATGTAGAAACCTCAATTTTCTGCCCTAAATAAATTGCTGAAGTATATTGTTATTAGAAGGTCATAATATATTAACCAATTATGGTAGTTGCTTGTTTTTGCCTTTGAGTCAGTGTTGACTCTTGGCAACTCCCTGGACAAGTCCCTGCATTTTTCTTGGCAAGATTTCAGAAGTGGTTTGCTATTGCCTGCTTCCTAGGGCTGACAGAGAGAATGACTGGCCGAAGGTCACCTGACAGGCTTTGTACCTAAGGTGGAACAAGACCTCATGGCCTCCCAATTTCTGGTGCCTTAATCACTACAACAAACTGGCTCTCAGTGGCAGTTTCACACCTGTATTTTAATTTCAGAAACAAATTTAAATACCTTTATATAATACTAGCATCTGTATATTGTTGCCTTTCAGGTTGCCAGGGTATCTGGTAAATTTACAGTTTAATAAACAATGCTATATCCATGTTAAGAGGCAAAGGCATTTCCTGAATATAGTAACATATCAGAACCAAAATAGCTTAAAAATGCCTTAATTTTCATGCTCTTATCATTCTTATTTCAGAAATGGTAACTCCTTCCGACTAATCAACACTAACAGGATTGTTTGTCTGCTATTTCTCTCCAGCCTTTTGGAACCTGGAAAACAACATGCAAGAATGTCACCCAGGCTGGTATTGATGCAGTGAAGGATGTTCTAGATGCAGGTTATGTCCCGGTATTACATGGTGATTGTGCCCTGGACTTGGAACAGCACTGTTGTATCTTATCTGGAGATACAATTATTGAGGTGAGATATGGGAATGACCTGACTTGTAAGTTCACCAATGTACTTACAAGAAATTTGAGCTCTACTCTTTAAATGTGTATGCTGCAGATATACCTGATTATTTCAGATTGATTTTTTTTTCTTTTTAGTGAATATTGCCAAGTTGAGGTTGACTGCAGTTCAAAGTTAATTGAAATTGAGGTTGATTAAAAAATAGACTTTTTGTGTGTAAGCAGACCTACAGGTATAGTCATATTTCTTAATTGGGTAAAATATACACCAATGCAAGAAATAACCTGAAGAAATACAGAGCTGTATACACATTAAGACAAACCATTAATACCATCAACCACAAGCAAATAAAAGCAGTCCTGTTTTGTTTGTTTTTAAGTATTCTTCTATGTCACACCTGAATGAGAAAATGTATAACTATTTTATGTGAAAGACTTCACAATCTCAAATAGTGTGAAGGCTTTGCTACAAAGAAGTCATCCTGTGGCTCTGAAGCAGACAAGTCTCCCTAAAATTAATCCTCACATTCCCAGGACAATGTGACTTTCAGTGCCTTCTCTGGCATCTCTCGTTAGTAGATATTAGTTTGTGGAAGGTCACTGTAAGGACTGGTGCTAGTTAGTCATGACAGAATTTGGAGGCTAGAGGGACCAATGATTTGACTTAGTATAAAGCAATTTTGTTTTAATTTTTCCTATGACAGGTTCTAGCTAAGAAATTCTCTCCTAAGCGAGTTGTGTTTCTCACAGATGTGAATGGAATTTACAGTTGTCCACCTGATACCCCAGGTACAAAACAAGTAGGCTAAAGTTGTTAGTACCAGGGAAATAATAGGTAATATCCAAATTGGCATGAAACATTGTGATTTTGAAGTATTTATGTTTTGGATATAGTTTTGGGGTTGCTCATGCTTTTTCTATGAGTTGGCTTTGAAAATAGTTGTAAGAAAGATGGATTTTTACATTAATATTTTGAAAAACTAAAAGAACATTGAAACCAAATAGATAGCAGATCTATACACATCTATTATAAATAATGCTGCAAATCCAGGGTTAGTAAACAAAATGCGCAGGTGCTCCTTATAGTCTAGGAACTGGTAGAGATGAACTAGGGATGTGCAGCTGTTCAGATCCATAGTGGAAAAGGTGCTTCACATCTGGCATGGGTGTGTTCACTGTACTGTTCACTACATTTGATTTTAGTCAAAAGGCCAAGAAGTGATTTATGACCAAAGACCAAATATCGGTGAAGTGAATAAGTAATTACCTGTCAGTAGTTCCTTAAAAAAAAAAATCTTTTCCTGAGCTTGCACTATAGTCACGCAAAGCCAAAAAAATGCACTCTTCAGTGAAGGAGAGAGGGACAGTCAGCAAGAGATGTTTCACTCTTTTGCTGTATTTAACTCAGTCATATATTTTACTGGGGCTGTGCTGAGACTGGAAGTGAATGGGACAAGAGGTCTAATAGGATCCAAAGAACTTGTTAGTTCCACCCCAAAGAGGAGTGACCAATGTAGTTTCAATCCCATGTCCAAGTCTGAACCCTGGCTGATCGGGTCCAACTATTTGTTCACATAGTCCTAAACTAAGCAGGGATCACATATGGTATAATATACTGATACTCTATTATTTATTTATTTATTTATTATTTATTTATTTATTTATTAAACTTGTATGCTGCCCATCTCCCCCAATGGGTGACTCTGGGCAGCTTA